CAGTAAATTAATAGCAGTTAATACGTCTACTGTTTTGTTAAGCAGTTTGATAGAGTTACAGTTAAGCCAATTCTTTCCTTTATTTTTTATTCTGTCTGTATTTTTACAATACAGTTAAAATAAAGTGTGTTTTGCTTAATGCCAAATAATTTGACCAATCGAATTGCATCTGTAATGCAATACTTTATACTTGGTTTTAAAATGAAGAGAAGTTATGGTCTAGATTATATTCTTAATTTATTTTGAGGGCGTTCGGTCTGTTGCAGCTGCTAGCAGATCTGTTTAATAACTGCATTGTGTAGACAAGGCCCAAGAACTGGCTGAAGTCACACAGTCCACACTCCACACCAGTGCTCTGCTCCAACCTGCCCATTAGCTTGCATGTTACAGATTGAGCACCATTCACCAGTTAAAGTGCAAGGTTTCACAATCTTAGGTTCAAATTCTTTCATTGCATCATTTCTCCCTATCTCTGTGACTTCCTCCAGCCCTGCGACCCTCCAAGTTCTCTGTGTTTCTCTAGTTTCCGACTTCCATCGCTCCACCATTAGTGACCATGCCTTCAGCTGCCTGCGTTCTAAGCTTTGAAATTCCCTCTCTAAACCTCTCCTCCGCCATCTCTCTTCCTGCTCACAAAGCTCACCAAAAACTCACTTCCTCTTCTGTCCTGGTATCTCCTTAATTAGCCTGGTGTCAATTTTCATTTGATAATGCACGTAAAGTGCTTCACTTTGCTCAAGGCACGACATAAATGCAAATCGTGATAAATCTGGGTCACATTTTTGAGACTGCAGTGCTTATGCTGTTGAGTGACTGGATGGATAAAGCATTGTGTAGAAAATTGGGAAAAATGTCTCAAATTCCAGGCTCTACATACAAGTGGAGAAAAGTCAAACAAGTAATTGTGCTCAGCAACCCAAACATCAAAACATGCTCACTCTGTCTCAGAGGGTGTGGGTTCAAGTCCCACTCCTGACACTAGAGCCAACACCATGGCGCAGTACTGGAGGAGTGCTGCAACATCAGAGATACCCCATTGCGGGTAAGAACCTGGTCATCAGGTGTGAGGCACTCTCCCTGTTGCTGTATGTAGCACAGGTCTGGCCCATTCCCCCAAAACTGTGCTGTTTCAGTCACCCGAGCCATCTTCCATTTCATCTGGAAGCCTAACACAGACCAGGTCTGCAGGAACCCCATGTACAAAACTCTGGATGGGGGTAGGGGGGAAGAACATACCCAACGTCACCCCCACCCTGATGGCCACCTTTGTGTGCGGCTGCAGCAAGCTGTGCGTAGACCCTCAGTACGCAAATACCAAGTGTCACTACGTACTGAGGTTCTACCCGTACCCAGTGTTGTAAAGGTTGGGAGTGGCCTCGTTGCTGTGGAATGTCCTTCGTAGAGAAATTTGCAAGGAAAAACACCTTTGACCACAAGTCCATCAGGAAGTGGTCAGCACGTAGCGTCCTCGAGACCCTGTGGGAAAAGGAGAAGGAGGATCCCGTCGCGTGGTTCCCTGAGCAGACTGTCAAAGTCATTTGGCAGAATGCCTCATCACCAGAACTTTCCAGCAAGCAACAGGATATTGTTTGGCTGGTGGTGAGAAGGGCCTGACCCGTGAGGTCCTTTATATACACCCAGTTGGTCTGTGCCATGGCACACTGCCCTCGAAGTGGCTGCGGTGGGGTTGAGACTGTAACACATCTCCTCTAGAATGTGCCCTTGCAAAGGATGTCAGGAGGAAGAAGCAACAGTTTTTGTTAAGGTTCGTCCCGAGCAGCTCTTTGATACGGGACTCTACGCCCTACAGCCTGCTCCCTGGGATGCACACCGCAACAAATATTGACTGCATCTGGAGGTCTATTAATTTGGCTTTTTGGTCTGCCCGAACCTTGTTGGTTTTCCACAACAAGGAGTTAACCTTGACAGAATGTTACAGACTGGCCACATTCCAAGGTGCAGGACCACATGCTGAGGGGTGCACTAAAGCTTGGGGCAACTGCTGCCAAGGCGCAGTGGGGAAAGACCAATGTCTGAGGTCTCCTTGCTGAAGGTAAATAGGAGTCCGTTCTATTATTGGACCCTTGTAGTGTGTCAAATATATGCAAGTATTAGTAGTGTATGTGTAAGAGAGGTCTTTGGTTTTGTGTATAGTCAAACTGCAACGTTTTGTGCTTACTTGAAAAGCGCCTGTGCAGAACCAAACAGCCTTTGTGTCAATGTGTATATACAAAGATTTTTTATGAATAAAGTATATTTTTGAAATAATAAATAAAGAATTACCCTTCAGATGAAATTTTAAACAGGAGCCCTGTTTTCCTTCTCCAGTGAAGGTAAAATATCCTGTGCATGATATGGAAGATTGGTGAAGTTATCACTGGTGTCCATTCCAACATTTATCTCTCCATCAACATCACTAAACAGAATATCTGGTCATTAAGACACAGCGGTTTGAGTATTGCTTGAGTGCAGTTGCATTTCCTACGTTACGACAGTGACTACACTGATGGCTTTCCAACAAAGCTTTTACTTTATGTCACTGCATTTTCTGATCACATGGAAGTGGCGTCTGTACACAGTGGAGCTGACAAGGAACAGACAGGTACAATAACTGGGCAACAAGTTACAAATGAAGTATATCGTGGGATCTGAATGGCTTTGCTGGTTGGAATAGAAAAGCAAAAATATTTTTTGAGGACACAAAACTCATAAATATTGATGGCAGATTGACTTGGACATATAAATCCAACACAATAAGTTAGCATGCAGGTGGTACAAGCAATTAGGAAACCAAGTGGCATCTTGGGCTTTATTGCAAGGGGATAAGGAGGATAGTAATGGAGAAAGCCTGCTCTAACTGGAAAGGGATTTGGCAAGGCCACATCTGGAATACCGTAAGCATTTTGGTCTCCATATTTAGCGTTGGATGGGTCACAGCCCAAAGTTCACTAGCTTAGTTCCTGGGAAGAGGGGGTCAATCAGAAGTGGAGTAAGTGGGACAAAATTCCCTGGCATTTAGAGGAATGAGAGATGAAACATACAAGAGTGTAAAGGGGGTCAACAGTGCGGTACAGAGCAGTTGTTAGCCTGGTGGGGTATTTACAACGGGAGCAGTATCTCTGGATAAGGGGCCGATTATTTAGGGTTGAAGTGTGGAGAAATTGCATCACTAGAAGAGTTGTGAACTTTAGGAATTCACTATCCCAGAGGGACGTGGCAGTCATTGGATATATTTAAAATTGGGACAGACAGACCTTGGGTCTCTCAGAATCGAGAGATATGAGGAATGGGTTAGGGAGTGGTTCAAGATCAGTCCACTCCTGATTGTATTGAATGGTGGAGTACGCTTGATGGGCCGAATGGTCCACTCCTGCTCCTATGTCCTCTCTCTCTGCCTATGAAGAAGTGTACACATACACAGTAGTGGGGCTGGATGTCACTTGAGGGAAATGGACTTCTAGAAGTTACAGGAATCAAGCACGGTGAATGGGCCTGACCTTGATTGCTCTACAGAGAACTAGCATGGAATATATGGGCTGAGTGGCCTCCTGGTGTACTACAAAGACTCCAAACCCTGGGGAATTTGCTGGGCCACACAGACTGCTGCAGAGCCCTCCTCCCCTTCTCCTGCCCCCTCACAATGTCACTCCAGCACTTCAGATGTTACTGAATCTAACAGGCAACATGGAGATAGTTCATGTCTGTCAACTGCCCTAGGGTAAAGGTAGACACAGTATAAACCACAGCAAATCAACCTGGCAGTAACACCACACTTTAGCTCATCTTCCTTTCTCTCTCCACTCCTGACCCTCAGGTTTTTCATCTCTCCCAGTTTCCGATATCATTTTGGCACCACAGGGAATAGGCACATGCTGCAACATTGTGATGTTGAACTCTCATGTTTCTAATGTTGCAATGAGATTTTGTTGTTTCCCTGTAAATGTCTTTTAATTTAATTATTCATGGTACAATAGAGTATTACAAAGTCTGTACAGCATGGCACCTTCAGCCTAACTGTTGCATGCTGGTGTACATCTCCGTGTGAGCCTCCTCCCATCCTCCTTCATCCAACTTCATCAACACATCCTTGTCTTCCTTTCTTTGTTCATGCGCTAATCCGGCTTCCTCTGAAAACAGACCGTGGACTTAGGAACAGAGGAATGAAGGAAATAGAAGGAGTCAGCCATTCAGCCACTCGAGCCTGCTCTGTCTTTCAGCTAGATCTTGGCTGATCTTCTACCTCCACACCATGTTCCTGCTCTGTCCCCCATATCTCTTTTGATACCTTTTACAGCTAGAAATGTATTGAATATACTCAATGAGTGAGCTTCTGTAGCCCTCAGGGGCGGAGAATTCTAAAGACACTGCCACCCTTTGAGTGAAGAGATTTTCCCCACGTTAACCCTATATATTATTCAGAGGGTGTGTTGCCTGGATACAGACCAAGACAGAAGCCCCCACCTCCCCAACAATGGAAACATTCTTCCTGTATTTGCCCAGTAAGAATGCTGTACGCTCCCGTGAGATCACCTCTCATTCTTTGAAACTGTACAGAATACCAGCCTCCTCAATATCTCTTCATACATCTATCCTATCATCCCATGTATCATTGCTGCACTCCCTCTATTGCAAGTACACCCTTCCTTACGTACGGGGACGAAAAAGCTACACAATGCCTTCAACCTGACTTGACTGTTTGGGGACAAGGGTGGCCCACATTGGTCAGACTCACTGCAGATGGGCAGATCTGTTTCACACCATACACAGTTGTCCTTTCCCGAAAAAAAATGGGATGATGTGAAATACAGAGCTGCCAATGCACCCTGCCCCCGTTTCGCTCTGTCAGTGCAAAATTAGTCTTGTTAACGCCCTAACATTTCTGCAACAGGTGTTTGGTTATTTCAATAAGGATTTGGAAATTTGAGCGAAAAGGGTGGTGGGGATTTTGGGGAAGTGGGTTAAGTTTAAGAAGGAAAGGAGAGAGGAGAAACAGCCCTTACCTCGCAGCACGGTCTTCAGGTTAACCTTGGCTTGCCGGTGCAGATCCTCCACACAGGGAGACCGGCTCGACGGGAGGAACACATTCTCCTGCTGATGCCACGATGCCTTATAGTGGACCGTCCACCTGCTCTCTTCATCCAGGTTAGAGACGGCTGGAAAGGAAGAGGAAACTATCTCAGTCTGACTGATGTAGAACCACTCAGAGCATTTGGCTCATCGTATCAAAGGAACAGTCCAATGAATCTCAGTCCCTTCCCCTTTCCCCATAGGCCTATCTGATGAGAAGAGACACAACCCGAGCTCACCCAATCCACTTCAGTCCTGGCCACCTAGGCTAGACTCGACCCACCTTGACCTGACCTGACCTTCCTCAACCCGACCCACCCCACCTCGACTCAACCAGATCCAAATTGACTCAATCTGACCTGATTCAACTCAATCTGACCCAAGTCGACTCAACCCCAACCAACTGGGCTCAACCCGACTTGGCCCGACCCAGCTTAATTCAACTCAACCCGACCCAATCCAACACAACTCAACCCAACGTGACTCAATCCAACGTGACTCAATCCAACCCGACCCAACTCAACTCAATCTGACCCGACCTGACCCAACCCAACTGGACCCAACAGACCCCAACCCAACCCAACTCAATACAACCCAACTCAACTCAGCCTGACTCAATCCAACACAACTCAACCCAACCCGACTCAATCCAACTGGACCCAAAAGACCCCAACTTGACCCAACCCAACTTGACTCAACTCATCCCAAACTGACTCAAAGCAGTCTGACTCCGCTTGTCCAACTAGCTTGAGCGAACCTGATCCAACTCGACCCAGCTCCACCCAACTTGACCCCATGTGATTTGGCCCAGTACAACCAGCTGCCCATTATAGCAACCAAAGATTTGTTACAATTCCTCAGTCGTGATCTCAGCCTTCCTGGAAATCTTTGCTGAATTATTGATCAGCTGTAAACGATTTCAGCTCTGGTCACAGTTCAATACAGCGTTAATAGGAAATTTGAGAGGGACCAGGAACTCGCAAACCAATTGTGATCACTTTCTTAGGAGAGTGTCTATCCTGCAGTATCCACTTTGAAAATGCAACAGACATACCACATAAGACAACTGAGTTCCAGGAAGTCACAAGCCTAATCTCAGGAAGTCTCACTGTTGTATCGAATGTCCCAATAACACCTAAGACAATAACGCCTCAATGCAGAACAAAAGTACCTCTGTTGGCTTGAGGTGTAATTGTGTTTTCCTTTCCTGTTTTCAGTGAGTGCAAAAGTAACAGCCAGGACAAACTAGGAAATTGCTGCAGAAATTCCAGCCTGTTAGAAAGGATCAGGCAAACTGGGATGAAGGAGGGAGATGGTGAAAGAGAGACAAAGAGGTAGAGAGGTAGCAACAATCATCTCAGCTTGAGTGCCACTTCCCTTCCCTTCCCAAAGTACCTTGATCGTGGAATGTTTTTGAACTGCATTGCTGTAGCGCTACTGTGAACTGTAATTGACTGTAAAATTGGTCACTGAATCAGGGTGACAGTTTGCCAAGCATGCTTCATTCCTATTTTAGGCCAGTGAGAGTTTGCCCTGACACTGGAATCTCACACTAGCTGCCCTATGACTTTACAAATTCCCGCTCAGGAGGTGAGCAATCAGGTCTTGAACATTTGTTCTGATTGTTTTTCCTCCTCATACAGCAGCTTCTGGCTTGGCACATCTTGCCATGGAATGGGGGAAGTGACTAAAACTAGGGTTTGCCAAACTTAAGAGTCATAGAGTCTACTCCCACCTGCCTGCACTTGGCCCATATCCCTCCACACCTTTCCTATTCATGAACTTATCCAAATGTCTTTTAACTGTTGTAACTGTAGCTGCATTACTGCTTCCTCTGGCAGTTCATTCCACACACAAAAACCACAACCTGTGTAAAAAAGCTGGCCCTATGTCCCGTTCTGAGGGACAGGCATTGGACCCAAAACGTTAACCCTGATTTCTCTTCACTGATGCTGCCAGACCTGCTCAGCTTTTCCAGCAACTTCAGTTTTTGCCCCTCATGTCCCCTGTAAATCCTTCTCCTCTCACCTTAAAAATATACCCCATAGTTTCGAACTCCTCCACCCAAGGGAAAAGTCCCCTGTTGCTCAATTATTAGGCACAGTCACTGGCAATCCAACTTTATCACAAAGACTTGATATCTATGACTAAGAAATGACACCCTGTGCTTTGCAACAGGAGTAGGAAAGGGGAGAGACACTGTGTTAGAAACATTGAGAGGTTGAAACACAGACTGCAGGTGCATTAGTCCCAGAATAAAGCGCCATTTCTCAACCATGAGCCACGATATCAATACCAGATAGTCAGAGATGTGAAGGCTTCATCACAAATTATGGATGGTCTTCCTTCCACATCCTAGTATTGATATAACCAATAAAAGTAACATTCAAAAGAAAAGGAAACAAAATTATTTTTCTTATAATGTTGGAAATTAATGGTTTGCCCTCAATTGGAGTATCATATGGAGGCGATGGCCTAGTGATATTATCACTGGACTGTTAATTCAGAGACCCAGATAATGTCTGGGGACCCGGGTTCGAATCCCGCCACGGCAGATGGTGGAATTTGAATTCAATAAATATCTGAAGTTAAGAATCTAATGATGACCGTGAATCCATTGTCGATTGTTGGCAAAACCCATCTGGTTCACTAATGTCGTTTAGGGAAGGAAACTGTCTTCCTTACCTGGTCTGGCCTACATGTGACTCCAGACCCACAGCAATGTGGTTGACTCTTAACTGCCCTCTGGGCAATTAGAGATGGGCAATAAATGCTGCCCAGCCAGTCCTCATCCCATGAATGAATAAAGAAAAAAAAAATCCATTTCTGGATAGCACACTTCCGTAACAATGTGAGGAATGAATAAAGAAAAAAAAAATCCATTTCTGGATAGCACACTTCCGTAACAATGTGAGGATGCAGGAAAAGTTGATGGGGATGGTTCAACAGATGAGGAACTTGGATAGACCGGGGTATCACTTGAAAGAGAAGATTGACCATGATATTCATAATGATCAAGGGTCTGGACAGAATTATGTTTTGAAATCTTTTGTGGGATTTCAGTGTCTCTTGGCTTAGCATTTTCAGAGAGAGGCCAACAGTCAGCCACATAGCTGGGGATCTGAAGTCACACATAGGCCTGACTGGGCAAGGATGGCTCACTAAAGGATCAGATGGGTTTCTACGGTGATTGATGATAGTTTCATGGTCACCATCACTGAGACTAGCTTTCAATTCCAGATTTACTCATTGGATTCAAATTCCACCAGTTGCCGCAGTGGGATTTGAACCTTCACCATATCACCCCCAACCACACTGACCCCCCCCACCCACCACCAACCCCCGCCCCCAGAGCATTAGTCTCGCCATGAATATCTAACTTGGTGACATCACCACTAATCCATTGTCCTTCCTGGAGAAAAAGTAAATGTTTTCATTGATGGAAGGGTTGACAACCAGAGGACGCTGATTTATGGAACTAGAAGTGATTTAAGGAAAAGTCTGTGTCACAGCTAAGATCAGAAACTGTAGGTCTGACAGTGCGATGGCAGCAGATACAACTATGGCTTTGACAAAGGAATTGTATAATTATCAGAAGAGGAAATATTTGCAGGGGTACAGGGAAGGGGTGTTGACTGGGACTCGCTGAACTGCAGTTGCAGAGAGCCAGCAGAGAATCAGTGGACTGAATGGCCACTTTCTAACCTATAACCATCCTATGATTCTTTCTCTCCTCACTGACCAAGTGTTGCTCATAAGGGGGCATTGACTTTTGATTTCTGGAGCCTCCGGAAGAATCCAAGAAAGGTTGCGAAGATGCGGATGTCGGCTGAACAGAAGTTGGAAAGCTTCTTGGCAGTGCCAAGACCAGCAGCTTGGGACATGGGCACTGCAGTCAGTGTCAAAGGGTGATTGTTTGATATTAAAGCCTGTTGTAAAGCTTATAAACCGGGCAACAGGCGAATAGTCTCTGAACAAACAGCCTGCGTCCCGCTGACACAATCATCACTGGCCTCCCTTTTGTTCTGGTGTCAGTCCATTATTAATGTCAGGTATCCATTTCCATAAAGTGCTGCTGCCCTGGGGACCAGTTCATATCACTCTGCTCACGGAACCATCATCACACAAGCAGCTTTGTAACCATCTTCCAGCTGAACAAATCAATTCTACACAGCAAACCCCCAGCTGTATTTAACTAGCAGATTCTTGCGGCTTGTGGAAACTAGTGCTGCTCACCTTGGCTCCCTTATTCCAACAGCAGACTCACACAGGGCTCTGTGTTACCAAGGACTACGGCACCTATTGCGTCCAGCAATACAAACGGCTGGATTCTAGACTCAAACTAAATCTGAGCTCAGTGCTCGTGGTTCACTATCGCCCCCGAGTCAAAAGGTTGCAGCTTCAAACCCCACCCCAGAGCACATCATCTACCCTGAAATTCCCAATACAGTACTGAGGGACTCCTGCATTGTCAGAGAAGGTGTGGATCGAATGAGATGTTAAATACCAACTGCCACACTCTCAGGAGGTCATGATAGATGTCAAGGCCACTGTTTCATAGAACCATTGATTCATACAACATGGAAACAGACCCTTTGGTCCAACTCGTCTGTGCAGACCAGATATCACAATCTGACCCAGTCCTGTTTGCCAGCATTTGGCCCATATCCGTCTAAATCCTCCTTATTCACGTACCCATCCTGATGCCTTTTAAATATTGTAATTGTACCCACTGCACCACTTCCTCCGGCATCTCTGCATCAGAAAGTTGCCCCTCAGGTCCTTTTTAAATCTTTCCCCTCTCACCTTAATCTTATGCCGTCTAGTTTTGGTCTCCCTCACCTTGGGAAAAAGACCTTGGCTATTCACCCTATCCATGCCCCTCATGATTTTATAAACCTCTATAAGGTCACCGTTCAGCCTCCAATGCTTCAGGAAAAAAAACCCAGCCTGTTCAGCCTCTCCCTACAGCACAAACCCTCCAACCCTGACAACATCTTTATAAATCTTTTCTGAACCCTTTCAAGTTTTACACCATCCTTCCTATAGAAGGGCGACCAGAATTGTACACAGTTATATCTGAAAT